GATAGCGGAGAAAGGTTCGTGTTTAGAATCAACCCAGTTTGGAAGTTGTAGTCTCGAAAAACGCACCATAAAACCACCCTGAGTGAATCACTCCTGGGGGCTCCTCTAAAGAAAAGAATAGGCTCGCGTTGTAACCCCACTCTTGTTGGGTTACATTATTGTATAGATCTATGCTAGCACTAGCTGTACAGTAGTAGTACTATTTCAAAGTTGTAGTTCTACTACTACTAGTACTAGTAGTAATACTAATAGTCATGCTACTGACCTTTGTTTACAGTTTACGGGTTGCCTGCTTGACGTTATTACAGTTGCCAGTCCGCACATTATTATATGTTGTTAGTGAATTACTCTAGGATTGAAATAGGGAAAGAAGCATATATCCTCCTGCTCAATTCGTGAACATTTTATTTACAAGTCTGATTCACTGTAATATTTGTATTCAACTGACTATGCTCAACTGAACCACTCTATCCGATCACCTGGGACTTACTATGTATCACAATACTCTGTATTAAACTATTATAACCTGTTACAAAATTTCGAAGTGACAAGCGGCGATATTTCGAGCGCCATTTCTGTTGACCTGTGACGTAGAGATTCCCAATGCGCATAGCGTTCGGCAAACTTCGTCATGACGTCATGACTGACAGCAGGCATCCCATGATACATTCGATCTTGGAGTCAAAGTTAGCCAAACACTATGCGCATTGGGAATCTGTATGTCACAGGTCAACAGAAATGGCGCTCGAAATATCGCCGCTCGTCACTTCGAAATTTTGTAACAGGTTATAATAGTTTAATACAGAGTATTGTGATACATAGTATTAGTAAGTCCCAGAATAGCGGATAAAGGTTCGTGTTTAGAATAAACCCAGTTTGGAAGTTGTACTTGTAGTCTCGAAAAACGCACCATAATTCGGGCATAAAACCGGGCTCCTCCAAAGAAAAGAATAGGCTCGCGTTGTAACCCTACTCTTGTTGGGTTACATTATTGTATCTAGTGCTAGCCAGTAGCTATTAGCCAGTAGCCAGGTAGCTATGACAGTCCCGGCCCCCCCACTCCGAGGTCAGAGAGATCGCATGCGCGTTCCCAAAATCTCTGGTAAAGGGGTATTTTTCGCGCGACAAAATCTGGCCCAAGAATTGTAAAAAGGGGGTGTATTTGACTCTCTTTCATCTTGAATATCATAGAAAGCTTTATCAAATTCCGGGATCAAATTCCTGAAATTCCTGCTAGTTTTGAAAGCTCATTCAAGATTATTCAGGGCCTCCAAGGCAGGAAAAACCCGCAAAAAGCCCGCGAAAGGGGGGTTCAGAAATTTTGGCAGTTCTGAGATAGGGGGGTGCTTTCAAAGGGAAGGAACGAGCATATGCGTACCCTACGTGGGGGGGGGGATGACAGTACTCAGTACTGGCAGTAGGTCAGTACAGTGTACTGAGATAACGCCGAAAAAAATTAACTACCCTCATCGACAAAACGCTAACACTTCGATAATCACATAATATAAACTTGCCGATTGGCAAATACCTACCGCATACTTCGGTTCGACACTACGTTACGATGTCAAACACGGTAGATCCTAGTGCAATACATCTAAATGCAGATTTTCCACTGTAGGCGATATTCCTGTTCGGCCATTTCTCATCATTTCTTTCGACGCGCGAGATTTTGCGAGAATTTCGTCATCATACATGGCAGCGCCCATCATCGGTGACGCGGAGAGAACGGCTGTGGTAGCGGCTAGTATTATGGAACAGATGCTAAGGTATTACGGGCTCTAAACTTATGCTGAGAGGGTCTATGTCCCCCGGGGTACTGCCGGAGCGTACCCTTGGTACAGTCCGGTATACCGGAACGTACCCTGGTACTATCTAATATGCCGGACCGTACCTCGCCTACTCCAACGTCTCCACTAACGCTTATACTTAGTTATACTTATAAATATAAGTTATATAGCCAATATAGGGTCTATGTCCCCCAGGGTACTGCCGGAACGTACCCTGGTCACTATTTGATATGGTTAGGGTTAGGATTAAGGTTAAGGTTAGGGTTAGGGTTAGGGAGTAGGCGACTCCCTAGACAGTCTGCAGCCCGGATCTGCGCGAAGCGCGCTTCGCGCCACCTGTTGGCGCCTT